AGATTCTGCTAAGAGACTTGAAGTCGGGTGCTGATGGCCTGGAACCCATATCCTGTCGGGGCTGGCCCAGACGCCCGGCACATACAATGCGCTAGCTTCTGTGAGATGCCAATCAGCAATGGCAGCAGAAATAAGAGAAAATGTATAACCATGGATCCCTTCCGCTTCCGTACTCGGCGTCGTGCTCCGCTTCGCTACTTCCCTCCTTGCTCGCTATGCACCCCCTTCCAGTGGGCACCCATGCTTGTGCCAGGTAAGTGGGGACAGTCTCGGTGCTTTGTCTGCAATTGCTGCGGTTGCAACTGCAATTCTCTACCCTTTTCACCTCGTGTCACAAGCTGAAGTGGAACCATATATTGCTTGAGGGAAGATTCCCTTAAAAGCAGGGGACCTCCCGTCCTAGTTTCCCGGCGTTCATCCTGGGAGCAGCACCCCAGGCGCCGAAGGTTATGCGAGCAAGTAACCAGATGTGAGCTGCATTGTGTCTTGCCAAGGGCCATGACAGGCCTGCATGCAAGCAAAGACACCGTCTAAGTTGCAAGAACTAACATTGTAGGGAATGCTCAGCCCTAAGTCAGTACATCGAGACGTGCTCATTTGCAACTTCGTGACGGTTAAACTGGGCATGGACCCCAACTTATGTGAAGGATGGCTACGAAGAGACAATTAGGTTCCTATCAGCCGTCGGCAGTGTTAGCAGATGGCCAGACGCGGCCTGTGCCTGTTTTAATTCCCGTTGCTTGGAGTGCTAGCACCTACCGGCCCAAATCGGGGACGCTCTCTCCTCGCCGCACCTGCCGTCCTCACTATCCCTGTGCGCTGTATGCCTGGGCACTACACGGTAAATAAACTGCTTCTGGGATCAACTATCAATTATTTCTACTCTACTGCAGCTCGGGGAAGTCGTCACCAAAGAGAGGACTCCCTACACACCGTGTGGCAACGACGACCACCTGTCTTTCCCCCCCGATGCACAGGAGCACTAAAATGAGCTAGACAGTCAACATATAAACCAGAAATTCCTCCCAATATAACAGGCAGTCTACACTCTACAGTTCGTTGCAGTGTGTGCTAGCCCCGCACAGCGTTTCAGTGGGAAGCCCTAAAGCACCACACACGTCGCAGCGAACTGTGCACAACGCAGGTAAACATGGGTTGCCGAAGCATCCAAACCCGCTTTCTTTATGAGGGCCCGTCAAAAAATAAAATAACTTCCGATTTATGCCAATTGGGTCACGGTGTCATCGTAGAAAAGGCTCGTTTTACGCCACCAATGCTCGCAACTCACCATCTAAAGTCTCACTCGCCAGGAGCGCCAGCCATTTGCTCCTCAGTCAAGGGACAAGGGTTTTAAAAAAGGCAGCACGCGTGTGGAAAAGTATAAATAATTATCCAACTAAGTTAGGGGCACGAAATCGCTGAAAGCTGTCGTGGCCAACAAGCGAGCTGGAAGCGCAGGCAGTACGGCGTGCTCAGCTGGCAGCAGCACACCAGCCCCTCTGGCCCGCCTAGCGGCGGTTCTGCAAGCACACCTTCCCCCATCAACTATCTGCATCTTTCGCAACGAAAGTGGCCGCATTTTACGACGGTTTTGCTGATCATCATTTGCACATCTTCGTTCCCCTGGGCACTATTGCTACAGGTAGGTTAAGAATTGCACTCTCGCACTCACGCACAGTTTGCATGGTTGCTGGTCTGACACTTTCCCTTGGTCTGCGCTTCACATGGTAGGCAAACAGCAGGTAATTCAAAGAAGTAAACTGTGTGGATGGAATATTTTTTATTTATTTGCTTTGGTTATGCCTTTGGTATGTCAGTGCAGCCGAGGCTTTATTGGTCTGCACTCTTGACTCACCATTCACGATTGCTGTGTGCGCGCTTTGTGGAACCACGCAGGTTTTTGTCTACGTCTGCTTGGGTGCTTTAGCCACAGTTCTTCTTTAAATTTTCCTCTTAGGCGAAAATGGCGGAAGAAGAGGTCCAAGCTCTTGTTGTGGACAACGGGTCCGGAAATGTGAAGGCCGGAGTTGCAGGTGATGATGCGCCTCGCGCAGTGTTCCCCTCGATTGTTGGCCGCCCAAAGAACCCTGGTATTATGGTTGGGATGGAAGAGAAAGACTGCTATGTGGGTGACGAGGCCCAAAGCAAGAGAGGTATCCTGTCTCTGAAGTACCCCATCGAGCACGGTATTGTTACCAACTGGGATGACATGGAAAAGATATGGCACCACACTTTCTACAACGAGTTGCGTGTCGCACCAGAAGAGCACCCTGTCCTCCTGACTGAAGCACCTCTCAACCCAAAGGCAAACCGTGAGCGCATGACGCAGATCATGTTCGAGACCTTCAACGTTCCCGCGATGTATGTCGCCATCCAGGCCGTGCTATCGCTGTACTCCTCGGGCCGTACAACAGGTATCGTCCTTGATTCTGGTGATGGTGTTTCTCATACTGTCCCCATTTATGAGGGTTATGCGCTGCCGCACGCGATGATGCGTTTGGACCTTGCTGGCCGTGACTTGACCGAGTACATGATGACCATCCTTCATGAGCGTGGATATGGCTTCACCACCACAGCTGAGAAGGAAATTGTGCGTGATATCAAGGAGAAGCTATGCTACATTGCTCTCGACTTTGATGAGGAGATGAAGGTGCGTCACGAAGATGACCCAGTGCAACAACTATTCATGCACTTTCGAACTTGCGTCACTCTTTCACAGCCTTGCTGTATTGTTTGACTCTCTTTGTGTCGGTGTGTTGCAGAATGCTGAGGATTCGAGTGACATCGAGAAGTCGTACGAGTTGCCTGATGGCAACATCATCACAGTTGGCAATGAGCGCTTCCGCTGCCCTGAGGCTCTCTTCCAGCCTTCGTTCTTGGGTAAGGAGGCTTCTGGTATCCACCGCACAACGTTCGACTCTATCATGAAGTGCGACGTGGACATCAGAAAAGACCTATACGGCAACGTTGTTCTGTCCGGCGGTACTACCATGTACGAAGGCATTGGTGAGCGTCTCACCAAGGAGCTGACTTCCTTGGCCCCGTCCACGATGAAGATCAAGGTTGTTGCGCCTCCTGAGCGCAAGTATTCTGTCTGGATTGGAGGTTCTATCCTTTCCTCTCTCTCTACCTTCCAGCAGATGTGGATTACAAAGGAGGAGTACGATGAATCTGGCCCTAGCATCGTACACCGCAAGTGTTTCTAGATGCAGTAGTAGATTGGGCCATAGCTTGTGTAGCGGCTTCACGACCAACCCATTCCACATTGCCACGACATAAAGGCATTATTGTGTGCTGCCTGAAGTTGGGCCTCATACTGGGCCCGACGAAGCGCGACATACTGAGTAGTAGCTTGTGAGGAGGAAAGACCGAGGTTGAAACTTGTGTAGACAAGCGCCCAAAGCGTTTGTATCTACGGAGACCTCGCGAGATGGGGTTCTGGCTACATGCTTAGCTGTCCGCATGATGGGAAGATGGGGGTGGCAATGGCTGTAGCGGCCCCTTTCTTGGCTCTCTTGCAGGCTGGTCCGTGCATTGTTGCGTTTCACGGAACGCAGCAAGGGGCCATAAGTTCCGTGCATTCATTCCAGTAGGGCAATAAATGGGCCGTAAGAGCTCAGTCTGCTGGCCACCCGTGTTCCTTCCAACTTTACTAAAGAGCATGCGCATCGCAGTTGTTTGCAAAATTAGTCGACCATTTGCGGGCAGGCAGTAGCGTATGAGGTTACAGGGTTTCACGTCTACCAATAGCACAGCACACCACGTCATAGGCAGAGTTGCATTTGCAGGAAAACACCTGAAACTAGATGCAGGTAGAAGTGGGGGAGGGTTGCAAAGCGCGACAGGGCGCTGTTAAAGGTAACGGAGGACATTTCTGTAGAGTTGTTCGTTGCGTAGTGTTCACCAGGTGACAGGGCAACAGAATGTTCCTGACGCGTGAGGCACGATGAAACATGCTGAGCGCGCACCTGGACGACACTCCTTTGGGTTTGAGCTTCCCGTGCTGCTCCAGCAACCTTACCATCTTGTATGCACCGCAACCACCGGCCGGTTCAGGATAGCGATAGACCCAGCGTGAACTGTGGGCTGTTGGCCCAACAGTTGCTTTAGTGCCTGGTCGCTGTCGTCATGATCACTTGTATACAGCAATAGAGGCAGGCAGCTGGGCGATTACCTAGCCTTCCTACATACAAAAAAGTACTTATTTGGGGCAGAAGAGGTTTTCATGTATCACCCCGGTTTGGTGTGTGCGCCGCAGTAGTAGACGGCTGCTGGGTGAATCGGTAGGTGTCCTACAGAGGCAAGTTCTGTGGGATGAGGTGCTTCCGTATGTTCCCAAGGGTGTGGTGGGTTCAACATCTGATGCCATCTACTCAGACTATACTGAGTGGAGGACAAGGCGACCTTGAACCCTAGACACCTTTACGCAGCAGTACACGGCAGTTGCTGGGTGGATAAGGGAAGAGCAGCCTTAAAGGGGCAAAATGCGTTCCGATTGGGTGCTATGAATGGCCATCACTGCCGTTCTGGAATTGTAGGGTGATTCGATTCTAGAAGTGGACGAATTGCAGCTGCAGCACTTAAGTACAGCTAAAGCTTGTAATGTAATGCAGAACGTCTTTGAAAGTTGGAAGAGGGCCAGCTAGGTAGATGTGGAGGGTGATCATAAAATCCAGGCGTGCGCTTTTGTGCGCTCAGATGGGTCTACATCTAACAAAAGGATCTTTTAAGATTCATGCCATACTTATTGAGTTCCCCTGGTGTCAATTTGGAGAACACATCTTTGATATATAGGGTGTCGGGGCGTTCCCACGGGTTCCATGCAAAACAGGTGTCCAATGCTGAGCGCACACTTGGGTGAAACCAAGCTGGAACGGTTGGCTTCCGGCGGTTGTACAAAAGGGCGTGTATAACTCCTGAGCATGCGCACCACTCACATTTGCACCACTTCCCATCCAAACTCCCTTGTTGCATGCGTAGTCAGCTATCTGTCTGCATCGTCAAGAAGGAGACATACCTTCGTTGGAATGGATGTCTTCGAAAGGAATCGGACCCCCGAGTATTTCAATGAGGCAGCATGCCAATCCCCAAAGATCTAGCTTCTCATCCACGTAATTGCCTTCCACAAAGCATTCAGGAGCCATGTAACGTGGAGACCCTCCGTTGTCTTCTAGCTTAAGCTTCCCGTGCTGCTCTAATGACCTAGTCTTGCCGAAGTCGCAGAGCCGAATATTGTACTGCACACATGTATCGAAGACAACACACATTAACAACCACCAGGCAAACGCAGGAAACTCAATTCGCATGTTGAAATATGGCCGTCCACGTGAGTGTTAGAGTGTAAGAATGAAGGTGCAGCCATACAGCCATCAGGCCAGTGAGATAGGGGTCGTCATGGCAGACGGCTAACAGCGCAGAAGCTGGGGAGCAGGGTGTGCATTCGGACGCAGTTCATACTTACCTCACTATCAACAACGAGATTCGCTGTCTTGAGGTCTCTGTGGACAAGGCGCTTCTCCGTATGCAGGAAGTGAACAGCTTCTATTAGTTGCCTACACATCCTTAGTCGAATATCCGCAGGAATATTTGTTTTGTTTTCATACAAAATGTCGAAAATATTCCCCCCATCTAGATATTCAGTCACTAAACCCACAAAGTTTTGATCAATACACACACCGTAGTAACGGACAATAAAGGGGTGTTGAATCATGCGGTAGGAATTTATCTCCCTGGCAACGGATCTCATTGCCTCCAACGTCATTTTGCCATGGGCTTGTTTTATAGCCACGACTTCACCCTTCCACACGGCTTTGTACACTGTGCCAAAGCTGCCCTGGCTGATGCACGATTTTAGAGAAAAGTCAACGCTGCTAATCATCTCCTTCTCCGGAATATTGAAAACAAAGTAGCGGTAGCCCATGGACTCAACAACGCGAGCTGATGCTTGATCTGGGTGGCGACTCTTGGAAACCCAGGAATATGGCGTACATGATACCAGACCCTTCATGTTGCCGTTTCCGGAAACAGGTATCATGTGTGTATACGAACCTTCCGCTGCAACTTTGTTTAGTGCATGACGAGGAAGGTCAGGTGGAGGGCTTTTTGCGTCGTCCCTACGTCGATAGGTGATCCTGCAAACTCGACGGCTCGAGGACCTTGACTGCCGTGACTGCGTTGCTGATTTCTGGTCCATATGACGCCGGGATGAGGGCTGTTGTTCAGAAGGCTTGGGCCACGCGCTCACAACGCGCATTCCAAGAGTGTTAGCAACATGGGAGGATATCTTACCTGGGTTTGGTGAAGCAGCTAGCCGGGCAGCTGCTTCAGTACGGAAAACTTTATCTTTTGGTACATAGGCCTCAATCTCTGAATCAGATGCTGGAGGGGATGGTTCGGCTGTGCCTTGAGATGCAGACGTCTCTCTGTCACTCATAGATGCTCGAATTTCCTCACTTTTCTGGTATGTGTTGTACAGACTGCGAAGGTCAACTGCTCCCATGAACTGCATCGCTGGGTCTCTAGTGCTGCGCCCATCGTCAGAGATGCTGGTGTCGGATGAGGCTTTAAAGCTAGCAGTTCCTTCGGTATCCCGGTTCTTAACCTTCTTGAGGATCTTGTCCTTAGCTGCAACAATGTGATCAAGTTGCATTCTGTCAAAAAAGGAACTGAATAACACCGGTGGCTCAACACGCCGAACATGAGGACCAATAACCTTTTCAGGCTTTGATGCTTCTCCAGCCGGTGAGAGGCCACTGGGATTATAATTCTGAGAAATGACTGGTGGTCGTTCTGAAAGGGACGTCTGCTTGACAATATGGGCACGACAAGCCCTCCTAACATCTTTGGGGGGAACGTATGAAACAACGCTTGATCGGGATGTATACCCATCGTATGCACAGGGAGCACCTCCAAATCGAGAAGAGACGCTCCCCGGGCTCCTCCACATTCGTGTAGGGCTCTCCTGAAGGATGTATGCTGGTGTTTGAGCTTCTGGGCTCGCGCGTTGAGGCATGGAGTGGGGCGGCGGCTCTTGTTTAAACCCATACCATGGCACCCCACTTGGCATTGAGTTGCTTGCTCTAAGGTGAATGCTCCCCTCAGCACCAGTCTGTTGGCCTCCTGAGGCTGCCTTGCTTTGATCAGGCTTTGGAAAGTCTGCAGGTGAGTAGGTGCGCCCCCATACTGGCGAATCTATGCACCGATTCTGCGTGGCAACCATTGTTGGCCTGATCATCATTGTTGGAGCCACTGCAATGAAATAAAAGGAAATGAGTCAAAATGCCCTCTGCGGTCTATGATGAAACATGAGTGGAGGAAGAAGATTTTGTGCTGCAGGTGTCGCTGCTACCGCTGACGAAAGCAGCAACATCGACTACAAGGCGGACGAGGGGCTTGCAGCTTGAGTTATGAGGTTTGCAGTGGCCTGTGTAAAAATCAACTGAGTTGCTACTGGTAGAAGGTGAAAAAACCGAAATTTTCTGGTGGCGCCGCGCCAGAAGGGCACCGTGACGATCTGCTGTCGCTGGTGCAGGGAAATGCGGCAAACGCAGTGACACCTCACATCCAGGTGGACCGCATTTGTTGTTTCTGGCTGAAAGACTTCTTATAAAATGGCCATGAATTCAAAACGCCGCCATTGTACATAGATCACGGTGCATGGCGAGCAGATGCTCCATCAGCTGTCTTCATGTGACCGCTGCCGAGCGGGGATCACAGGCCGGCAAGATCTCGAAGAAGCTAAGCTGTTTTGCCAATCTAGCCGATTTCAGCTCCAAAATTCCTCATTTCTGATGAAATATTTAGTGCAATTCCCGTATCGGGTGGAAATTGCCACAGTGCATCTGCAGAGACACGACCTCTTCGAGCTAGCGAGCACTCGCCACAATCGAGACTCCGTTTAGCCGCATGATCAGACAGCGCCACCTAAGCACACAGACGTCTAGTCACAAAAATTATCATAAAACGACAAATTTGGGATGGAGACCTCTATGACCCAGCAAAATTCTCTACAGCGCACCTACGCAGGTATAGGTGCCCTGGGGTCCGTAGTTCATGCCGAACGGTGTTGCTGGAGTTTTCCGGCAAGTAGAAACGAACAGCTAGCTCCAATTCAGAACCAATATACATGGTATTTACCTTAGAAAGTCATTTTCACTAAAGCGCTGAAGCGTACAGAGATTCAGACTAAGGGTGCAGTCGTTGGTGTTCTGTCGAGCCCTCAGATTCGCGGGACAAAGCAAATTTTCTTTACCATGGAATATATGGTACAGCCAAGTACAACTACATTGTAAGCAATTATGTATGTATATGCAGCATATTGTATGCAGTCAGTGGAGGCAGAGGACGATCCGAGGAGGACCTAGGCGTGCTCACCCAACGTTCAGACGGGCAACATTCGACGATGTATTTTCTATATGGAGAATAGCTTCCAAGCCAGTGTAGCAGATAAGGAAGACTTTATGATGCCCGCCTGAACGTTGGGTGAGCACAGAGGGAAGATTGGGGTTCACACCCTTGGATATTTAATGGCGCATTTGCAGTTCCTTGTACACGCCCGTACGATAGAACTCCGTTCTGTTCTTACTCCATCGTGCCAACGAAATGAACAACCCTACCCTACCCTAATGGTTCTAGGGTGTTCAGGTGTGCGTCTCACCGTACTTCACCTGGAGGTGGCAAACTTAGTAACACAGAGGGACGTGTCGCGACCTTATTGCTGGTTGCAGAGGCTCGTACAACCACAACAGAGTCTTTCTGTAACCTTGGCAGACTATGAAATGTTTGATATTAAAACCTAACACTACATGCATATAGTTAGGGAAAGCGAACGCCTAAAGTAGACTGCACAGTCTTTAGTGATTTAGGTGATTGGAAAGTCTACCTACCTAAATCGCTAAAGACTCTGCAATATTCGTTAATGGCCGACTTAATACTTATTGATATCTAAGCCTCGCGACACATTAAGAGATTTATATTCTGTGTAATTCATCGACGCCATGCCTTTTTTTGCGTCGCGCAACAACCTTCACGTTACATTGGAAACCAGCTGGTAAAATCAACCCATGATGGAAGCCTCTGACAAAAATAGCCTCTGCATTTACTCCTCCAAGTAATACGACAAGGGTTAGTGCCTAACAAGCTATTCTAATCACAATCTTCTTGCAAGACTTCATCGATATTGTGACTGGAAGAGCATCAGGGTTTTGCTGGAAACCAACATTTTAGAAGCTAAACTCAAAAGCTAAACTCACCCATGCCACTTACCTAGGGGCACATTCAGCTATACAGAGCCAACCGGATCACTTCTGATCTAGGTGTGAGAAAAGGAGCAGCTGCCTCATCTACCCTACCTCCAAATTGCACCCCAGCAGGTGGACGTGCTCCATTTGCGTCACACAAGCCCTCCCACTGGCAGCTAACACGCACCCAACTTGTCATACTGAGCCCTAGTAAACAGTTGAGACTGGATTCGAGGTCGACAGCGAATGTGTAGCACCTGATGTTCACCTCTACCGTGGAGGTGCCTCATGCGTAATGACGGATTGGGCGTTACCAAATATTTTTTCTACGGCTGCGACTCCCTGCGTCCAATAAGGCGTCCCGGATACGTTTATTTGTAGTGTATACTGGTGTTCCAGAAGATACTTACACCCGGATCGTGCCCGCTTCCATAGTTATGAAAACAGTCTCAAACCCGACGCGTCCGCAACTGGCGACGGTCCAGTGGAAAATGCAGGGAGACTCGCCCCTTGGCGTCAGAATTCGGGCTCTCCGGATGATTGTGAACTCATGTTGATTGACGTAACATTAGTCGATTATCCTTTTGCTGCTTATTTATCATCATTTTCAACATAGCATACACCGGCCGAGGGCCCCACGGGTTATGCCAACGTGAGCGCCGCTGCCATCGGCTTACCTTCCTTTCCGTGCTGCTATATTAGAAGCCTTCGATGCACTGGGAATTGTTTATTTCATTCTTTTCCCTAATTTTCGAAGCACACAGACGGCGGAGAGCGTTGAATGGACGAACGGTGCACATTGGGTGGCTCCAAACCACCGCTTGTGACGCTCCGGTCTGTTGCTTTTCGTTCTTTTCTCCTTGAAGGGTGAAGACCCGTCTATATTCGAGTGCGCAAAATTGTTTTGAGGGTGTGTGATGGGCTTCTTGACAGTTCATTATCCACGAACTAAACAACTGCAGCTCGGTGGGCAGGGGAAGTCAGCGCCCAAATCATCGTGCTCATGACAAGCTCTTTTTTTGCCTCCTTATGATCGTTCGGGGAATCGGGGAATCCGACGAAACGATTATAAGTGTCCGACGAATCTCTAGAAAGGAGAGTATAGGACAGGTGGAGGGAGGCGATCAGGCGCTGATGCTTGGCAAGGAGCATACTAGAAGTGCCCCGAACCTGGGTTTGCAGGAAGTGAAAAGTCTTTGTTCTTTAATGTGACTGCAGTCTTCCAGACTGAATGCGCTTGTTAACCCCACCTTTGCCTCAGACTCTCTTGCTCAAGCGTGTACCCTGGGCGAGAACTTACACAGTATACTGTCCCCGCTTACACTAATCACCCGAAGAATGTGCTCTCCTACTAGTGTGGCCTCCTACTCCTTGATCGACAGTTCAATATAGTTGCCTTTGAGTCGCTGAGAAACACCGCCTCCACTTGAGCATCGTATCCCCATACTGGGTTCTTCGCATAAATGGACCCGTTTACGATAGTCAGATGGTTGGGAGTGTGTGCGGTGAGGCATTTCTCTGCTTAAGTAACAATAAACCCTACAAAAGAGCTTTTATGCAGTCATATGTGTATGGAACTAATTATGTGGACGAATTGTGTGCATGAAGCAAGACCCACTGCACATTCTTGTTTGTCTATCAGGAACCGCCCATAGAGGAGGCGCAGCCTGCTTGGTGGTTGGATTTGCAGAGATCCGAAGCACTGCAGAACAAAACGGAGAAGACTAGCAGCGTCACTAAGCAGGCCATCTTGTCTCCTGCGGCGTCGTCACATTTCGCCCCAGGAGTCGAACGGCGAAAAGTGCGTTTCGCTTCTGAGCCTACTGCAGATTCTCAATGCTTCTACGAAAACGATGCAGAAGTCGTCATTTCCCCGGCCCAACCGAGTACGCAGGCCTCGCTAATTCATGCTTCTGAACAAAACGAAGTCGCTTCCTGGGACCTAAGCGATCTGGAAGATGCAGCGGCTATCCGCCGCATGCTAATTTCCACAATTGACACGCCCCGTTCTTCATCCGATGGCAGCCTTCCCTCCAGCAGTTTCGTGGATTCCCATTACGACTTGAACCCTTCTGGTTCTGAGCCTGTGTTTCATGAATTATGTGGCAGTTCCATGGACAGCGCGAGCCCACAAGGATTTAGCACATCCGCTGGGCAAACTGGTGACTGAGGACGTCGCCGATTTTAAAGTTCCCATAAAGCGTTAGACACAGCCCATATTATTTGCACTGTTTTCGCCGTTCCACAGGTGATTCGGTGAGTGAGACGCACCAGTTGCTGCCGGAGGTGCATTGGGTGCAACTCAGCAGTTGAATTTAATCTTTCTCCTAGGGTGATTCAAGGGTCCTGGCTATGCTTTGGTGAATGGGTGGGGAAAAGGATGGTAGAAGGTCTTGATTTAGGGCAAATAACTTTGACGAGGACTGAGGACAATTTGAAGCAAACTTTGACAGAGAGGGGGTACGGACAGGCTGGTGTCCAACAGCACACGTGCGGCTACACAAGCGGTCTCTACAGAAATTCGTGAGAAAAATTGTAAAATTGTGCTGGACTGCACTTACTACGGGGCTCCTTAATTGGCTGAAGCGTAACGCAGGTAGACTTTACTGAAGAGGTGCTTTAAGCGTGACGAGGAGCCGGACAGATCGGCAAACTTAATGCTTAACATTCCGTTCGCTCCATCCTCTACGGGGAGCTTATTTGTGCCATACATTTGCACGCATGACACTACTGTAATTATCTCCTTTCAGTACTGCGGGAGCAGGAACCCCTAGGCGATCATGCATGAGGGCTGGAGGGATGTATGCAGTGTTTTTTTGACCCCGGTACCAACAATGACCATTCTCGTATTCATGCATTGATTCATGCGTTTGCGATGCCTACTGAAAGTTGAACATACTCAATAGAGAGTGCTCCACCGTTTCTCGGCCAACGCACACCACCCAGGGGGACATCGGTCCTATGGACAGTGCAACGACTGGTGATTTGCTAGAGAAGAGGGCAAAATCTCGCCAACATTAGCGGAGACGTCACCAATATGATGCGAATACCTTTCGACTCTGAGAGACACCTTTGAACGGAGGTGAAAATTGCAGTTTCGTAATGTGCGGGATATTGCTCTCGTTCCCGTGTCGTGTTGTACCTGGGTACATAGAGTAGTCAAACTGCCATGACACAAGCGATGCAAGTAGACTTGAGGCTTATATATATATAATATATATATAT